TTCTCTTTTGGGATGGAAGCACAATTACTGCCTACTCTCACACAAAAGGAAAAAGAATGCGAAGTCCAAAGCTTCCAGGACTTATCTCTAGAAGAAAAGAGTTATTTGTTTCTTTCTGTAAAGAGGTGTTTGTTGCTGTAAAGTCTCCTTCCACAGCTCTCCCACACCTCCATTCTTTTCTTTTTTTTAAAAAAGATTTTATTTATTTATTTGACAGAGAGAGAGATCACAAGTAGGCAGATAGGCAGGCAGAGAGAGAGGGGGAAGCAGGCTCCCTGAGGAGCAGAGAGAGCAATGTGGGGCTCTATCCCATCATGACCTGAGCCAAAGACAGAGGCTCAACCCACTGAGCCACCCAGGCAACCCCCCACCTTTTTTTTTTTTTTTTTTTTTTTTTAAGATTTCCTTCCTTCTTTCCTTTCTTCCTTCCTTTGTCAGAAAAAGAGAAAGCACAAGCAGGGGAGCAACAGGCAGGAGGAGAAACAGGCTCCCCACTGGGCAGGGAGCTGGATTCGAGACTCCATTCCAGGACCCTGGGATCATCACCTGAGCCAAAAGCTGAGGCTTAATGGACTGAGCCACCCAGGCATCCCACAGCCGTCCATTCTTGAACATTAAATGAAGGGACGTGTTTACCTACCTCTACCCCCATGAACAGGGAAAAGAAAGCCTGCTCTAACAAAGTATAACCTTCTATATTCTAGCTTCCAAAACTTTTTGATAGGTGTATGTGTGGAACATTTTGTGTTTTAAAACAAGTTTATACAGTCTTCGATCCTACTCCCATCAAACGTAGAGTCTAATTCTCCTCCCCATGAAGAAAATGAAGCAGAAGTGACACTGAGTAAGGTCATAAAAGGTGATTTTAGGTTATAAAAGGTGATAAAACTTCTGCCTGGCACTCACTCTCTGAGGATAGGGAACTTTGGACTCCGGAATCACCAACTAAGATATCCAACTACCCTAAAGCCCTCATGCTGGCCTGGGTACGAGACAAGATGTCACAATTATAGAGATGTCCAAGAAGTGCCAGCTGCTTGAGTCTTTCCAGCCCAGCATCCTGATCTGTGGATGAAGAATCCCAAAAGATGACTCCAGGCCCAAGTACCATCTGCCTCCAAGTGTAAGAGAGGAAGCCTTTTAAAATGATTCCAACCCAGCTATCATCTGATTGCTTACTCATGAAAAACACTGAGAAGAAACTGCCTAGCCAGATTCAAACATCAGAACCATAACAGATTGAAAAAAAAAGATGTTGTTTTATACCACTAGGTTTGCGATGATGTATTACACAGCAGTAGACAACCAAAGCAGATTTTGGTTATAGAGTTGCTTCCAAAAAATGTAAACATTTGGCTTCCAGATTAGAGGGCAGGACAAAGTCAGAAGTAGCGGAAAGTGTTAGTGAGAGCCTGAAAGGGTCTTAATGTCACTGTTAGGAAAAGCCTCAAGGAAGCTGTCAATAAAGACTTAAAACAGGGGTCAGCAAACTATAGTCTACCAGCAAAATTCAAACCACTACCTGCTTTGGTAAATAGTTTTTCTGAAACACAGCCCCACCCGTTCATCTACATATTGTCTGCGGGTGCCTTCTCACTCGACAGCAAAGTTAAGCAGATGTGCCAGTGACCACAGGGCCCCAAAGCCTAAAATATGTATTGTGTGGCCCTTGACAGAATAAAGTTGCTGATCCTTGGCTTAAAAGAAAGTGAGAAAAGTGTTACTGAAAGCTGAAGGAAAGAAAAATCCTATTAGATAAGTGGAAAGTTTAGCAAAGCTGTCACCTGAAATAATGTTGAAAACAGAAAATATAACCAATGAACTGATGAATATGGGTAAGGAAATTTCCAGGCAGAATATCAAAAGTGGGGGCACCTGGGTGGCTCATTCGTTGGGCATCTCTGCCTTCCGCTCAGGTCATGGTCCCACAGTCCTGAGATCCAGCCCCACATTGGGCTCCCTGCTTGGCTGGGAAGCCTGCTTCTCCCTCTCCCACTCCCCTTGGCTTGTGCTCCCTCTCTCGCTGTCTCTCTCTGTCAAATAAATAAATAAAATCTTTAAAAAAAAAAAAAAGAATATCAAAAGTGTCAACTGGTATTTTTCAGCTAAGTATCATAAAGTACAGGTACAGAGATGAGAAGAATTATATAATTTTCAAACAATAGAGGAAATATAAAAGAGTCAGGACTTGGTAGGTCCAAAAATAAAACTGTTTCTTACTCCCATATAGCAAACATTTCTCAAATTAAGAAATGCCCAGGGGTGCCTCAGTGGTTTAGTCGCTTAAGCGTCTGCCTTCGGCTCACGTCATGGTATGGAGCCCCACATCATCCAGCTCCTTCTCCCTCTGCCTACTACTCTCCCTGCTTGTGCTCTCTTGCTATCTCTCTCTCTAATAAATAAATAAAATATTTTTTAAAAAACTAAGAAACACCTTCTGGAGAAAGATCAAACCCAAGGCAGTATCAGGGACACATGGCCTAAAGATTAAACATTTGTTTAGACCAAGGACTGACATTTTCCATAAAGGGGAAGATAAATGTTGTAGACTTTGAGGGCCATATACAGTCTCTGTTGAACATTCTTCTTCTTCTTCTTCTTCTTCTTTTTTTTTTTTACAACTCTTTAAAAATGTAAAAGCAAATCTTAGCTCACTGGCAATAGCTGAGCAACCCTAGTGTAGACTTCAAAAGAGATTTAATTTAAGGTGGTACCTCACAATTCCTTTCAAACAAAAAGACTTCTAAGAATCTTAAAGGTGTTGTCCCACAAAAAGTTTAAATGGAGCTGAGACGGTTCAGGACATGCTGCCCTAAAATAAGGTATATTGACATACTAAATATTTTAAGCTGAAGGTGCTTGAGAAAATGGCAGAAGCAGGAAGGTCATTCTGACCTTTCCCCTGCTCTTCTGCCCTGAAGCAGGTCATAAAACTCTCATATGAGAGGTGCCCTCCCTGCACGTGGAATAAGGGAGCATTCTTACCTCCAAAGGCACAGGGACACAGAGAAGAATCCTAACAGGCCTTGCTAAATTTCCCCCAGTTCACTATACTTTCTTCATACTCTTTGTCTTACATTTCTCCACAACTGCCCACGCTTAATCAAACACAGCATAAAAATACTAAGGCTTAAACATTTCTTCAGTTTAAAAATATAACTACCCTACAACCCAGCAATTGCCCCACTAGGTGTTTACCCAAAGAATACAAAAATACCGTGGATGGAACTAGAGGGTACTATGCTAATTGAAATACGTTAATCAGAGAAAGACAATTACCATATGCTCTCACTCATACACGGAATTTAAGAAATAAAACAGAGGATCACCTGGGAAGAGAGGAAAAAATAAAACAGGAGGAAATCAGAGAGGGAGACAAACCATAAGAGACTCTTAATCAAAGGAAACAACAGAGGGTTGCTAGAGGGGAGTGGGGTGAGGGGATGGGGGAACTGGGTGATGAGCTTTAAGGAGGGCACGTAATGCAATGAGCACTGGGTGTTATATACAAATGATGAACCAGTGACCTCTACCTCTGAAACTAATAATACATTATGTGATAGTTAACTGAATTTAAATTAAAAGATAAAGTCCTAGGAAGCAAGCAAAAAAATAAAAACATAAATAAAATTTCAGAGAAAAAAATAGAATACGAAAATACTAATTCAAAGGGATACATTCACCCCAATGTTTAAAGCAGCATTATCTCCAATAGCCAAACTATGGAAACAGCCCAAGTGTCTATCGATAGATGAATAGATAAAGAAGTTGTAGTACACACATACACACACACAATGGAGTATTTCTCAGCCATAAAAAAGAATGAAATCTTGCCATTTGCAACGATGTGGATGGAACTAGACAGCAATAAGCTAAGTGAAATAAGTCACTGGGAGAAAGACAAATACCATATGACTTCACTCATATGTGGAATTTAAGAAACAAAACAAATGAGCATGGGGGAAAAAAACAGAGAGAGGCAAACCAGGAAACAGACTCTTAACTACAGAAAACAAACTGATGGTTACCAGAGGGAAGATGGGCAGGGGCAATGTGGAAACAGGGAAATAGGTGATGGGGATGAAGGAAAGCATTTGTGATGAGCACCAGAGGGTGTGCATAAATGTTGAATCACTATATTGTAACCTGAAACTAGTATTATACTGTATGTTAACTGGAATTTTTTTAATTGGAATTTAAATAAGAACTTAAAAAATAAACATTTCTTCAGGTCTTCATTTACTAATAAAAGTACCCCTGCCACATAAAACTTATATTAAATACATGTGTATCCTTTTAATCGGTCTTTGTCAATTTAATTTTCAGACCCAGCCAGGATCTTAAGAGGTCAAGGAAAACTTTTTCCTCTTCTACAGAGCCTAAGGTAGAGAAAGACATATGATTGTCTGAGTGTGGCTTTTGTCTAACAGAGTGAACCCCTCAAAAGGATTCACAGAGAATTCTATGTAGAGAAACACTGTCATCTTGGACTAAAAAAAGACGGTACAAAATGAAAAGAGGTTTTTGGGACAAACACCCCCTTCATGTTCAAACCCTATGGTTTAGGAAATTACTCAGCTGCAAACAAAGAATACGTTTTATGGAAAAGGAAGGCGAATTCAAAGGGCAAAACCAAGAGCTATGAAGGATGGTTCCCCGGCAATACAGCAGAGCCCTAATCACAGAAGTGATGATATGGGCCTGGGTGGATTTCAGATTTGCTGTGGACCAGCAACTATTGTGTTCCTTACATTTTTCTTTTATTTTTTAACAGAAGTGTCCATAGTGGTTATCTTGTGCCTGTCCACTGTTGCATATTGGGTGGCTAGGGAGAGGTAACATTTCTCTTTAGCTTACAGGTCCTCAAAGTGAAAGTAATGGTACCCAGGGAGCTACATATGAGGAATACTATCCAAATAGCCTAACCTGCACCGGGATCTGCTTTAGAGACAAGATCCTAGACCTCAAGCCTGAGCATGAAGACACATGAGGTAAGACCCCTCTGTTTGGCAGCACAGACACTAAAATTGGAACAATACAGAAAAGACTAGCATGGCCCCTGCCCAAAGATGACATGCAAATTCTCAAATTTGTGAAGTGTTCCATATTAAAAACAAAAACAAAGACCCATCTGAGAAGGGGTAAGTGTGTTTTGCACTTGGGAGGAATGTAAATCTGTGGCCAGAAGAACAACCAAAGTGGCTTTGAAATATGTCTGCATATTCTTGACAATCTTCCCAGAAAGAGGTGGAGTCTAATTCCCTTCCCTTTGAACATGGGTTGGCCTTAATGACTCATTTCTAATGAATAAAATGCAGCAGAAATGACACTGATTCTGAATTTAGGTCATAAAAGACAATACACCACCCTTATTCTTATTCTCTTATTCAGAACAAGTGCTTTTGGAGCCCTAAGCCTCCATGTAAGAATTCTGGGTGCTATGAAGCCCCTATGCTGGGACTACACAGAAACAGAGACAGTGATGTTCAAGGAGTTATTTCAGATCCTAGTTATTTGCACTTTCCTGCTCAAGGGCCAGAGCTGTGAGTCTAGAAAGAAAGAACGCAAGGCCCATCAGACACAAGTGCATGAAAGAACTTGTACAAGAATCACTTAGATAAGCCTACTCAACACGCAGAACCTTAGGAGTTCTGCACCAAGTTAGAAGTGGTTTTATCCCTTGACAATAGATAACTGCAACAGCGTGCCTGGGGACACAGCCTGAAATGCTGGAAGGTCACACTTACTTAGACTGCCTTGCTGTATATACCAACCAAATGACACCAAACAACATTTCAGCTCATCCAGCTCCTACCAAAATATTTGATTTGATCTTCATTTGATCACGCTAAAAGATATTTTATGACTGATCTAACATATACACAATTACAATGTGACAATTGTTTCAAATTGTATGCCAATATTATTTAAAATCACCAACATTTATACACATAGTCCAGGTTTCTTCCTATTTCAGTTTCATATTATTTTAGTTATTTTATAATTATTTTTGAAATGATTAAGTAATTTGAGACTGCTAGTCATACCACCTCCTCTACAACATAACACTAATTTGTAGTGTCGTCAAATGTGGTTATAGGGGCGCCTAGGTGGCACAGTATTAGGTATCTGCCTTCAGCTTGGGTCTTGATCCCAGAGTTCTGGGATCAAGCCCCTTATCGAGCTCCTGGGTCAGCAGGGAGCCTGCTTCTCCCTCTACAGTTTCCCCATGCTTGTGTTCCCTCTCTCGCTGTAACGGTCATAAATGAAATCTTTAAAAAAAAAAATGTGGTTATACCAGCAACAGAACTAGAATAATCATCACTAATATATAATAACCACTGTTTCTATGGTCTCATTTTTTTTTTTTAAAGAGGCATTTTTGCGGGCACCTGAGTGGCTCAGTCCGTTGAGCATCTGCCTTTGGCTCAGATCATGACTCCAACATCCCAGGATCAAATCCCTTGTTGGGCTCCCTGCTCAGTGGAGAGTCTGCTTCTCCCTCTCCCTCTGCCCTCTTCATGCTGTCTCTCTCACTCTCTCTCAAATAAATAAATTAAAAAAAAAAATTTTTAAGAGACATTTTTTTAAAGAATTTATTTATTTCTTTTTTTTAATATTTTATTTATTTATTTGACAGAGATCACAAGTAGGCAGAGAAGCAGGCAGAGAGAGAGGAGGAAGCAGGCTCCCTGCTGAGTAGAGAGCCCGATGCTGGGCTGGATCCCAGGACCCTGAGATCATGACCTGAGCCGAAGGCAGAGGCTTTAACCCACTGAGCCACCCAGGCGCCCCAATTAATTTATTTCTTTATTGAGCACAAGCACAGGGAGGGGCAGAGGAAGGAGGAGAGGGAATCTCCAGCAGACTCTGTGCTGAGGGTGAAGCCCAATCTCATGACCTGAACCAAATCACGAGTCAGACACTCAACTAACTGAGCCCCCCAGGCTCCCCAGGTCTTTCCTTTTTTTTTTTTTTTTTTTTTTTTTTTTTTAGATTTTATTTATCCATTTGACAGACAGAGATCACAAGTAGGCAGAGAGGCAGACAGAGAGAGAGGGGGAAGCAGGCTCTCAGAGGAGCAGAGAGCCTGACAAGGGCTCGATCCAGGACTCTGGGATCATGATCTGAGCCGAAGGCAGAGGCTTCAACCCACTGAGCCACCCAGGCACCCCGGTCATTCCATTTTTAAATGCTATGATCTAAATCCCGGGAAAATAAATCATCTGCATTTGAAGATACCCAATTCAATGTGTTTTAGATCACTGACATAGAATTAATGTTCACAGATTATAAACATGGTTAAGCTCCCCTTCCACAGAGAAACTAAAACCACTGAGCCAAAACTAATTGGTCCCAGTAGAATGGAAGAAGATACTCTGGAACAGGAAGAACAAGGAAGCCTGAGGTGAAGACAACGTACTCTGAAAATTCTCCATTGTGAAAGCATTCCCAATTAGACATTTTAAGGAAAAAAGCCTTAATCGTCCATGCCACCAAATAACTAAAACATCCTAAATTATTTAGCAGCAGTTTAATTAACATTTTTCACTCTTCCCTAGACTGTCAAATGTTTGACTTTTTTTTTTTTTAGCAAGCAAGCACTGAGAAGAAAAAGTCAAATATAATCACAATCAGTTTGAGAAGAAATTTTAAAAAATAAAATATGTGTTCTGCTTTAGATGTGTGGGTCTTTTTTTAAGATTTTATTTATTTAACAGACAGAGATCACAAGTAGGCAGAGAGGCAGGCAGAGAGAGAGGAAGGGAAGCAGGCTCCCTGCTTGAGCAGAGAGCCTGATGTGGGGCTCGATCCCAGGACCCCAGGATCATGACCTGAGCCAAAGGCAGAGGCTTTAACCCACTGAGCCACCCAGGCGCCCCTAGATGTGATTCTTTGACCACTGAATATTATATATACCCAAAGATTGGGTAACTAAAAGGAAAGAGGTTAGTGTGAAAAGTCTATTTAACCCACAATATGGCTGATTTTAAAAATCAGCCTGGGTTCTAGGTCCTGATAGCATAGCTACTGCAAAGAAAAAAGGTTCTTTCTTACTTACAGGGCAAAGGTTTAGGCTCTATACAAATTTTTTTTAAGATTTTTTTTTAAAAGATTTTTATTTATTTATTTGGCAGAGAGTGACACAGGGAGAGAAGGAACACAAGCAGGGGGAGTGGAAGAGGGAGAAGCAGACTTTCTGCTGAGCAGGGAGCCCGATGTAGGGCTCGATCCCAGGACCCTGGGATCATGACCTGAGCCGAAGGCAGATGCTTAACACCTGATCCACACAGGTGCCCCATAAATTCTGAAATAAATAAAGGTCACTTCCCACAGAGAATCCATAACCACTTCGTTCTTCCTTCCTCATGCAAAAGTCCCAATCCTTCAATAAAACTGACTTTGGGTGTCAGAAAAACACTAAACTTACTGAACTTAGTCACCCTGAAGAATCAATATTTGAAAGCCCCTAATCTTCCTATGAGATTAAAGACTGTAAATATAATGCAACATAGTGGAAAACATTCTGGATTCCCCCTCAAAAAATTCCTTTTAAGCTCTACATCAAGAAAATGTGCCCTTCAGGGTGCCTGGGTGGTTCAGTGGGTTAAAGCCTCTGTCTTCAGCTCAAGTCATAATCCCAGGGTTCTGGGATCGAGCTCCACATTGGGCACTCTGCTTACCAGGGCGCCTGCTTCCCCATCTCTCTCTCTGCCTGCCTCTCTTGCCTACTTGTGATCTCTGTCAAATAAATAAATAAAAATCTTAAAAAAAAAAAAAAAAAAAAGGAAAGAAAGAAAAGAAAAGAAAAAAAATGTGCCCTTCTACTTACCACCCTATCTTCCCGTACTGAAGACAGGGATAAACATGTTAGTGAGCACTCAAAACTGTGCATAAATGAATCGATATTTTGCCTTTATCTCCCATGTAAGAAACTTGCTTCTAGTTCCATTCTACCACTAACAATCTCCAGAATCCTGGGGAAACTACTTGCTCTCTCAAGCTTTAGATTCCAATATACAACATAAAATGAGGTGAGGTGGAGACTGGGGAGGAGGATTAGACATTAAGTTTCATGAGGGCAACAACTGTCTTATTCAATACCTCTGTAACCCAATCTAATAAAATGGCTATTGTACATTCAAATATGTACTGAATGAAGTTTCTTCCAGCCCTGACTCCGTAATTCTTAATCATTTGCTTAAATTACATTTATTTTCTAAGCATGCAGTATACAGTCCAACATTCCTTCTCTATACTCAGCTCAATTAATAGTAAAGGACTTTTAAAACTAGAATACTGGGACACATGGGTGGCTCAATCAGTTAAGTGTCTGCCTCCAGCTCAGGTCATGATCCCAGGGTCCAGGGATCGAGTGGAACATCAGACTCCCTGCTCAGCAGGAAGCTTGCTTCTCCACCCATCTGCTTCTCTCCCGGCTTATGCACTCTCCCACTCGCTCGCTCGCTCTCTCTGACAAATGAATAAATAAATCTTTAAAAACCAGGGGCACCTGGGTGGCTCAGTCATTAAGCATCTGCCTTTGGTTCAGGTCATGATCCCAGGGTCCTGGGATCGAGCCCCACATCAGGCTCCCTGCTCTGCAGGAAGCCTGCGTTGCCCATTCCCTCACTCCCCCTCCTTATGTTCTCTCTCTCACTGTCGCTGGGTATTTCTCTGTCAAATAAATAAAATCTTTAAAAAAATAAATAAAAATTTTAAAATAATAAATAAATAAATAAATAAAACTAGAATACTTCCAAAATCTTCTCCACCTGTTCACACAGGTGCTTTGCATGACGGATATTATTTATCCCCTACAGATGTGGTTTTTAAAAAGGTAAGACTGCGGGGCAGGGGGTGGGGGGTGTGCTCCTGGTGGCTCAGTCAGTTAAGCACCCAAGTCTTGATTTCACCTCAGGTCATGATCTCAGGATGTGAAGTTGATCCCCATGTCTGACTCTACCCTGGCTCTCCCTCTGCCACCCCTATCATGCTCTCTCTCAAAAAAATTAAAATAATAAAAATAAATAAAAAGGTAAGATGTGGACAAAGACGGGATGCCAGAAGCAATACAATTTTCCAGATTCTTCTGAGCTGGG